CGAGGGCTATCCAGAATCCAGCTGACATTTTACAACCCTCCTGTAGGAAGGGCTCTGCCTTCCTTCAGTGACACCGAGGAAGCTGAGGGTCCTGCTGAGCTGCCCAAATCATTGTCTGCCACTTCACCTATCTCCCACAGGTTGAATGCATTACAGAGAATGACACCTATCAATCACACTGATGTGCATGAGTTCATTCTCTTGGGGCTCACCGCCCGCCCGGATCTCCAGGTCCCCCTTTTCTTGGCTTTCCTGGCCATGTACATGGTGACCCTTTTGGGGAACTTTGGGATAATTGTATTAACCAGGACCGATCTTCACCTGCACACCCCAATGTACTACTTCCTCAGCCACTTGGCTTTTGTCGACATCTGCTATTCCTCCATCATTCTCCCCAGAATGCTGGTGCAGATCTTGACGGAGGAGAAAACCATCAGCTTCTTGGGGTGTGCAGCCCAGCTCTGCTGCTTCGTCATTTTTGGGGTCACTGAGTGCCTCTTGCTGGCCGTGATGGCCTATGACAGGTACGTGGCCATCTGCAAACCCCTCCTATACCCCACCATCATGTGCGGATGGATGTGTCGGTGGCTTGTCACCGGTTCCTATGCCATCGGTGTCTTGCATGCGGTGACACACACCACCTTCATCTTTACTTTCTCCTTCTGCCACTCCAATGTTATCAACCACTACTTCTGCGACATTGCCCCGCTCTTAGCTCTCTCCTGCTCCAACACCCACACCTATGAGGTGGTCGTCCTTGCTCTCGTCAGCATAAACTGTCTCAGCACCATGACGATAATCTTCGTCTCCTATACTCGTATTCTCCCCACCGTCCTGAGGATCCGCTCTCCAGAGGGAAGGAGAAAAGTCTTCTCTACCTGTGCCTCGCACCTGACGGTCGTCACCATGTTTTATGGGGCAATCTTGTTCATGTACCTGCGCCCCAGCTCCACCTTTGCATTGGACGAGAACAAAATGGCCACGCTGTTTTACACCATCATGACCCCCACATTGAATCCTTTGGTCTACAGCCTGAGGAACAGGGAGGTGATGGCAG